GACGTTATCTCTGAATTGCTGGAATATAAGATCATGGATCATCAAGCCATCAGGATGAAAAGTGCCAAAGGTTCGACCTCTCTGATATGCATTCTCGCTAAAAGCAGTGATGTCATTAACTATGCTCTTCGACATCTTTCACCAACGTTATCAGTTTGAAATTTCTCAGACACCTCCTCCTTAACCATGCTTACAACTTTAACACAACTGCAAAACGCCCTAACACACCTGTATGCCCACGATGTAAAAATTCCCATTTTGTCTGCCAGTGCACTCACTTGGAATTGCCTCCAGTGTATAATACTTGTCACCTGAACTTATTCCAATAAGTGTCGTGGCAAACCTTCTCCTAAGTTGGATGATCCTTCCATAACGGCTTCATTCAATATTTCTGACCAGTTATTTCTCCTTCAAACTCAGTTTTCTCTCGTCCTACTCTCGAGAAAATTATTCAATTTTTTTACCATTACTTTCAAAATATTTATTCTTATCAAACACAATTTGGCCTTGTCAGTGTCAATTATGCTGCTACAGTAGTCTTTAAACTAAACATGTAGGCTACCTACTGTATATTTGATACTCATTTTCATTTTTGTCGACTTTGGGAACACAAAAAACTAGAGTATTCCAAGATATTATGTTAAATTCCTTATTTGTTAATATCTGCTTTTTCCTTACGAATCTTCCTCTGCTCAAGACATTCCCTGTTGCCGATAGTTATAATTGCATCCTCCGCGGTGAAATATTTCTTAAGCCCACACAAAAAGTGAAGTTGTTTCATTATAATTTTCATCACTGTGATCATCCTTCAAATATCAGCAGATGCAGGGTTGTTACATATATATATATATAGAGTTGTAAGATATCCTTTCCGTTTTCTTCTTCCAAATGATTGTCCCGAACCTTTTTTTGGACATTGTTTATTTCCCTGCTTGGATACTTACCTTAGTTACAATATAAATCTCTTCTGGACACTATTAACATACATCTTTTTCAGTTTATTGGATTTTATGTTTCACGGATACACAGTTCTAGCAGACATCAACCTCTACAGCTGATCTTCATCCGACCTCTCTCGCTTTCACTCCGTATTGTGTGACCTTTCAGATTCTTTACTATATCTCCCTTCTCCTCGCCATCCTAAATGCAATTTGTTATTGGATGTTGTTTTTGTTTCTGTCAGTGTTGCATCACTTCTTTCCATAAGCATGCTCTCTCCAATTAGAAGTGATCATGTGATCATCTTCCCATCAGATTTCGACTTAAAGCTAACCACATCTATACTCATTCTTAAATCCTTTTTGAATTTTCATAATGCTGACTGATCTGCCTATTACTCCCATAGAGCAGTTGGTGATGCTGTTGTGCATCTCACCTCTTCTTCTGATGTGACCACATTTTCTCTGCCCTGGAATCCACTCTCATCTGAATCTTAACATATCCATACTGCATATTTTATGCCATATAAATCTGTGACGTCTCGTTGGGTTGTGAATCTTATATGTCTCTCTTTTCTGCTGCTATGAGATTATTGCCGTTCTCATGATACTTTGGTTCTGCACCATTCTCATGATTCACAGTAGTTTACCTGTAATCTTGTGCGAGAGGTAACGCAATGCCATTGCCATAGGATTTGCAACACACTTTGCAGTTCTCTCATTATTTTACAATACCGGAAACAAGTTAAACCCCTGATAAGACAATGCTCTACTCCATTGTACTAAATTTTGGTCAATGGTGCAGCATGTCTTTTTTTCATTGGTAAGCTAATGCATTTTCTTCCTTTCTAGAATCCAACTTCCATGCTCCAGGTTAACCCTCTTTGAATCACGAGAATTTTTCAGAAGTATTTTGTTTTTCAGACTGATCCCTCACTCCCGGACCTCACCCCAAATCTTGAGAATATTCTCATATAATGATCTCTGAATGTTCCCTTTAGGCTATTCATTTAATTTTTAAAAGTATGTGCAACACGACTCCTGGTATAGATGGATTAACTTACTCTCATCTCTAACATGTCCCAGCACGATTTCTCTACTTCTTCTGGTCACTTTCTACAATTTCCTGCTTTACACTGGCTTTTACCCAGATTCTTGGAAATATATCCACTATTCTACTTTTCTTGAAACCATCTAAGTTTTCAATGAACATTGAATCTTATCATCCCATCAGTCTTACTAGTGTTCTTAACAAATCTCTTGAAATAATTCTCATTCGCAGACTGCATGTTCATATAGCTCAACCTGGTTTCCATCCTCATCTTTCAACAATGGATCAGCTCTTAAAGTTATCTAATACCATTATTTACAATATTAACATTTCAAACCCATGTTGTCTTCTTCTTTTTTGTCTTTCTAAGTGTTTTTGAGTCATCTGGTACTGAGGATTAATGTATAGACTCAGATATCTGCAAATTTCACTTACTTATATCCGACTTATTCACTTTTTTCTTCTGAATCTTTCTGCCAAAACCTTTATAGAGTGTACTAACTCGAAACCTTATTTTGGGGGGAGGGGTTGCTGGAGGTTCCCAAGGTTCAGTTTTATCCCCCTTTCTCTATGTGCTGTATTTTTATGTCGTGTCATTTCCTTCTCCTTCCGTTTCTCTCTTTATCAATAAATGACGATACTGTTTTGCTGCTTATGCGCAAGCTGATGGTTGCCCTCAACAAGATCCTACAAGTACAAGCTGCTCTCAATAAATTCATTATGTGGAGTCATTACTGGCGTCTTAACATTAATGCTCATAAAACCAGAGTTATTCTGTTTGGGCTTACATGACACAAGTGTCGTCAATGTCGTGATCATTTTCTATTTAACGTTCGGGTTGATAATGTTTTGATCAAACTCCCTGACACAGTGAAATAACTTGGAGTAACTTCTGACAAACAGTTTACCCGGAAAGCTCCTCTAGTATCTTTGAGTAACGAAATAACCTCTTGACCTAAGCTTCATTTTATTTGACCTTGTCTCACTTACGATTATACTGCACGGATTTCTGCCCCATCTTCCTTTTATCTTCGTTTGCAGATTTTGGAATATCATGCTTTTAGATTAGCATGTAACGTCCAGCTACCTAGTCCTACTAAATATCTTTATGACCGTCATGTCTTACGATATTTCTCTACTCAAAATAGTATATTTACTGATACACTTGATCATCCAGTCCAATAGTCTCTATGCCTCATACCTACTCTGGAACATCTGTTGAATCAGTATTTTATGTCACTCCTTTCAGATGATCCTGATCGTGTTTACCATCCAGTGCCACAACTCCTGTAGTGTATATTTACTGATACATCTGATCATCCAGTCCAATAGTCTCTATGCCTCATACCTACTCTGGAACATCTGTTGAATCAGTATTTTATGTCACTCCTTTCAGATGATCCTGATCGTGTTTACCATCCAGTGCCACATTGAGGATTTACCACACTGAGAGCAGAACAAGCAATGTTGACTATGTATAACTAATTATCACCAGAAAAAAACATATATAAGTATATTAAAGAACTTGATATTACTAATTATCATGACATTCAATCTAAATCGTTTTCCTTTTATTTTTGCTTCTTCCAAGCATCTCCACTCATTTAGAACAGACTTTTTATATATATATCGTATATATTAATTAATTCCTAATTTTGCAGTCACATCTTGTGGCTGAAGTAAGCCAGGTTTTAACGGAAATAAAAAGACATATGTTTACATATACACATAACCACTGCAGAACGGTGTGTGTGTGTGTTGGACTGAAGCTGATTGGGTGTTCTACATAGTGATTCATTTGAGTGCGTTTAATTGTACTTTTTCTGTTTAGTTAGTCATCAATTCATTACTCATTTCTTGTTTGTTAACCTTCAATTTAAAAATCCTTATTTATTTGTTTTATTACCTAACTTAGATTCACCTTCATCCATCTTCGGTGGTAGATCAACAAAGACAGGTCGACCATACTGAGACCTGATTCATAAGAATATAAACCTTAATTTTAAAGTAATGGACTAGAGAGAAGGCAGCTACTCAACACTACCCACTGCTAGCTCGTAGGCTACTCTAATCGAATACTTGGATTTAACAGTCGCTATTATAACGCACCCGTGCCTCAAAAAGGCAGAGCGCGATTTTTTTTTTTTTTGCGGTAACGGGTCTTGAACTAAGGAACCTTGAATCCACAGTTCGTCACCCTAACCATAGGGTTGCACTCGACCCATAGATGCTTGTGACTAGCAAATCATGGGAAAAACAGGATCTAGATCATTACACAAACAATTTCCCATGCTTAAAGGTTTGCCAGACGAGAACATAAGATTATGTTATAAAGTGAGAATCTTGAAGCAAATTATCTCCTAATACAATGAAAAAATAATTGTATTACGAGATAAAATAAAATAGATAAGTTTTCAACTGGCAAGAAACGTCATCAGTGTAATCAGAAATGTGTTTTAAAACGCCACCCCGTGGCACAGCGGTATGCCTACGGACTTACAACGCTAGAAACCGCACAGATAACCCATCGTGTAGCTTTGTGCTTAACTACAAACAAAGTTACTTATTTTTTAAAAACAACATAGCTTAATAAGATTTCACAAATGCAAGTATTCGATATTTCAAAGCGATATTTAAAATGATGGCGATTATTTATGAATATTTAGTCTAATAGGCCGATTTTTTGTCAAACTTTTTCACACTCATAAAACTATCTGTGTACTCGCAGGATACTGCCAGAAGTGATCTTTTGGTCTCGTAGATCAAATACAAATGTGCTCAATTGGCTCTAATCTGGGTCCAGCAAAGTACGTCCATTACCTTTTTTTATCGTACGCTACAACTTTGATTAAGAATTCTTACATCCATATAATGCTATCTTAAGCTAGGCTCAATCAGATGTTGACTGTATTATCTTCAAAACACTTCTTGCCATCCCATACCACGGCTATAATAAACACCTGTATTATTTGTTATTCTTAAGAACTAACTTGCTTTTGTTTACTTTCTAGTGGGATTTGGTATGTGAAAAGGACCATCTACCTCACCTCATTTTTACACTATCTAGTGTAGGCGCTGCTGTCGCCACCCCGATATATGGTGCCATGTCTGACAGGTAAGCAATGAAATTTGAATAAATGCGAAAAACGCAAGCAGAGAATGTGTATTAGTAACAAAAATGTACAATAACAAATACAAATATGAACAGAAGCTTTCACACTGACATTAACTTTTACAAGGTTTGTAATCAAACAGCTCTTAGTGATAAGTAAGTATATATGTATTCATGTTTTGTGTCTTCAAAGTCTACTTTCATAGTTAATCCACACGTTTCCTGAAATTCTCTTAATGAAGTTAAATTTTCAGCATAAAGTTATGATTCTTCATATTAATTAGGTACTAATTCAAAATATGTTGTTGTTTTTTTTTTGCTATGTTTATTATTTATTTAGAAGGTTTAACTTTTCTTTTTAGAGTATTCGTTAGGTCTTCTTATTGTCATGAAGCTGGGTTCAAAAACAGAAATGAACTCTTGAGTTCTTCGTTGTTTTTTTTTAAGTTTTTGTTTAAAGACCAACTCTCTGCAGAAATGTTTTTTTTCTATATATTTCTTGCATATATAGTACTCATAAACATCTAGATTCCCCTATGAATAAACCTGTCATTTAAGAGTTTTACAGGTAAATACTTCAGAAACAGAGAGGTTTAGGAGAATAATTGTCAGTGGTATGGAATGAGGTATTGTGGGCCTATTTTGGAACAATATTATTGAGATTATTCAAGGTAAAGTCCAAGGTTACGTCCTCCGAAACTTTTATCAACGTACATTATACACCAAAAGTGGCAACTGCAAACATTTTGCGCTAAACTTCTCCGAAATCGCTTCACAACAACAGCTAAAAGCATAAATAAAGATGAGGTAAACATCCTATTAGTACTACAAAATGACAGCCAACAATCAATTGATGTGTTTAAAAGTGCTGTCTAAATGTGACAATGTCAATATAGGAGCTTCTTCGTCTATACTCATTGACGTTTTTAGTCTGTCCTCACGGAGTCTAGGAGCAAATGATCCTGTCACACGCAGCCGCTGACGCACATTTTCTATCATTTCACGCGAATGAATGACGTTCATTTAGTAACCTTTCGTCATACAATTAGATAGCAACCCGCGTATTCTGGTGATACTCTCCACACAATAATTCCTTATAAAACTGTTATTCAACTGTATGCTGTGACATTATTTAGGTTTTCGGAGCAGCTACAACACGATGTTTGTGTGCTACCTTATGTTTTTATTTTAATATTTTAACCTTTTTGGCTCATAAATGGTGCAATGACCTCAGTGCTTATGCAAAATTCTGACCTTGCATTTTAAATCTAGGTCTGTAACAAACTTTGCTATGGTCGGATTTAGATATTTTTTGTCATAACTCCATATAGATGAAAGAGGTATATTTATGGCTCTAATCATGGGCGTCTGCAATATATATTACAGAGGAGAGCAAGATGACAAAACGATATCAAAGCCATAACTAGGGAAACGCAAAATTAATAATCCAGGAGGGCAAGTGCCTCTTGCCCCCATGCGGACGCCGATCGCTCTAACTGTTGTTCTTGATGAGCGATTTTTTTGGTTAAAATGTCCCGTTTGTTATCGTTTACATCTTGACAGTAATATTAATAACATTTCCGAAGGACGTATTTTGAAGATGATTTTGAATAAACTCAGTACCATTGTCACAGGTTAGGCCCAAACACCTCGTTCCATATAACAGTTAATTTTTTATTTCTCTCTAATTCTTGCTTGTAAGTGGATTTTTGAATTACTCTATTTATAAACACATAAAATTTAAACAAAACATTTTAATGTGTAAGTCGATAATTCAACTTAAGCCAGAGATTCTAAAAACTTAAGTTAATAAATCAACACTCGTAGGTAAAAAGAAAATAAGAGCAACAATTAAAAACAGACTTAATAAATTGCTTAGTGTCTTTTTATTAATAGGGGACACGATTTAATTATTATCTGGCTTAGACTACCAATACGACGATTCATGGTTAATATCCCCTTGCCGCAAAAATGTGCTACGCATAGGAGCACTATGATAGTGACAGTTAAAATATCACTATTCGATAAAAAGTATCGCAAGATTTGATGTGGGTACAATTGATTAGCTGACCTACCTCTAGTCTATTAGTTTAAAACTAAGGACAGCTAAGCACAGATAGCCCTTTTTGTAGCTTTGTGCTTGAGTAAAAAAAAAACATATTACGCACGTGTATTTTTTTTATAGGCTTCATAAAGGACATGGATTACACTAGTAAGGATGTGAGAGAGGATGAATTGTATCAATGTATCCCAGAAGCCTTCACAAATGTTACCCTTACAATGTACATTTCGCGTGTAACTTATGGTGCACATGTTGAACTATGGTGATTGTATACCGTAAAAAACTTTATACATTAATGTTGACCGTGCAACAAACCGTGTGTCTATATGATTAAAAAGTTTTCCAAGTATATTTTTCCAAAGTGTTTCCAAAATTCTTGGACATCCTTTGCATTATTTTAACTTCTCCATCTATTTGATATTCCGATGTATGATATACATATTTGATAATAGTACAGTAAGGTATATATCTTGTTAATATATATATATATATATGCCTAATGTTTTACCTACAAGTTTTTGTTGATGAACAAATGTATATATGTACATTTTCTCGTGTATATATTTTATATACAATGCCGTGTTAAACTGTACGTAAATAGTGTTTGATTTGTATTGTTTTCCGTGATTTTTATTATGTGGTTTATTTCTGCACTATAATGTGTATCTATGATCTTACACAAGTTATGTAGAGTTTAACTTTCTGTTATAATGCAGTACATGTCAACTCCTTACGTGCTAATTTGTCCCTACCTCCATTTTATATCACTAACATCCCAAAGAGCATCCCAAGTAACTTATTAAATATATTTTGAAATGTTAACCAGTTTCTAAATACAAAGAGCTGTATTTAACAAAGCTGATGTTTGAGTATGTGTGAAGCCGTGAAATATGCAACATGCATGCTTTACTGGTCAACAGTGCTTCACTGGTCAACAGATTGAACATTAGTAAAAAATACCGACACATAAATTGTGAGAGAAATAATATGAACTTTCAGAGATAAAAAGTTTGTTTTAGTTTTTTGTATTCAAAATATTTTAGAATTGTATAAGCAAGAACATCAAAATAATACTGAAATATGACGTTTATGTATTAATATAAATATTTAAATGACATAATTTAATTTAATTCCTTGTATCAGGCCAGTAATTATTTTCACAATAAACACTAAAGTTAAGAGGATATTTCAGGTGTTTATGTGCAATTATAAATGCAATATATATTGATAATAATATATAATTAATAGTAATATTATAAGCAAACAAAATAACCTCCAAGAAAATGTTTGACGAAATATTTTTTGCTTTCTTTACAGAATAGGAAGGAAGCTGACCTTTTTTATCTGTGTGACCGTGACTCTTTCGTCTGGGGTGATTTCGCTCGTCTTACCCAGTTTTATAGCATTTGCTGTATTCCGACTAATCAACGGCTCGCTAATACCAACAATATTCCAAGTGCCATATATTATGTGTAAGCCCCTATTCACTTTTTTCTCTCTCACCGGTATTTAGATTCTTTTATTTTCAATATAATGAGAAAATTGCTTTTGTATAGTTTTAATTTCCAAAGCTTTACACGATTTTTTTTTGTAATATTCTGTGCTTTTCTCTTAAATATTCCTAGATCGTTAGTTATTCATATGTGTTTTAGAGACTCCCCCCTCCCCCAAATAGCAATTTAAACCAATTCAAGACCATATTGGTCACAGAGTTAGACTATAGCTAAATGTGCGTCGACTCTTGACCATCGACGCAAATAATAGTTTACTACAATACTTTTTGAGCGATTTTTAAACAATATTCAAAGATTGCTGATTAAATTATGTTGAATAATTACTTCTAAATACATACCAAATTATTTCTACTCGTATGTATGTTGTTCCATTTGACCACCAACAGATCTAAATTTAAAAATAGACAATTTTTACACCTCCGAGAATTTAGTTTCAGTGTAAATAAAGAGACGTGTGAACTGCCAGTTCGTGTAATACGTCTTTCAAGAAAAAAAAAAGGAAAGTAACTGACCAACTGTCCCTGGAAAACAACATTCAGGTAGTCCAGGAAACAAAACAAACCATAATGTATAGTTAACTACACATCATGAGTGTAATCTGTAAATACAGAGCAGTGGATGTGTGGCAATTTCTCTAATATAACTGTCTTGTAATACCTTCTTTCGAAGACATATCGTATATGGTAACATTTTTGTAAAGAAGTTATTTTACATGTAACACTCAATTAAATACAAACTGATCATGTGGGTGAATATTACCAATGGAAGCTCAGCGTTAACATTTTGAAATTGTACAGTTCAGTTTCAAATATATGTTTTTAAATGATTACTTAACAAATATTTAAACTACTTACTGTTCTAGGCTACTCCAAGAATTTCAAAGCTAAAAATTGTAATTAACACTATATTTTCATTATTATAAATGTTTAGTTCATGCAACACATTTCATAAATCACAGACTTAGAGGCGTAATATTTATTGTCGCAGGATTGAAATGATGTTTAGAATTTCCAGTATAATTATCCTTTAGCTTATTGCGCTCACTGCCTTTTTTTTTTTTTTTAGTAATTTAAAATAATATTTCACTCTAACACCCAACCCATTTTTTGGTTCGATAGCATCCTTCAAGCCATCAGTACTAGTATTACAACAAATTCCAGGTAATGATATCGTTTAAATGATATTTCACTTAATAAATATATGTATAATCAAAACCAAAACATCTTCAGAGCAAAGCCATGAAATATATGACCACAAACAACAACCATGATATATATATATATATATCTGCATATTTAATATATGAACACCACAAACAACAACAATGATATATATATATATATATATCTGCATATTTAATTTAATTTAATATATGAACAAAAACAACAAACATGATATACATATATATCTGCATATTTAATTGAATATAATTTAATATATGAACACAAACATCAACCATGATATATATATATCTCCATATTTAATTTTCTGTCAGTGGTTGAAATTGTTGGAAAAGAGAAGCGCACTCAAATGATGGGAATCGCCTGCATCGGATGGACGACAGGATTGTGTATTTTGCCTCTTTTAGCCTTTCTGATTCCGAACTGGAAGACTTTTGGGCTTGTAACTACCTGCTTTTGCATTCCATACTTCTTTTATTGGAGGTACGTTAGTTAGGGTAACTTTACACTCGTGATAATAGCACACAACTTATTCAATTAGTTTCCATCGTGTAATACGATTTCATTTTTATTGCTTCTAAAACTTACCGCTTTTGTATGTTTCTGTTAAACCATTTAGTTTTATAGAATATATAGAACCATAGAAACTTTCTATTCGCGTCCCTTGTAACTCACGCTAACAAAGTGAGAGCAACTTGGTACATCATTTAGCTGTGGAAACTAATAAACCTTGAACGTTTTTTAGTAGATGCTGAATGCAATTATTTCGTAAATATGTATCATCACTATTTGACCAGTAACCAACGTGTTTTACACATCTTTAGAATCGAATAAATATTTCTCGCTTTTTATATATATCTCGCAGTAAATGAAATAAAGTTAGAAACAACATTATATAGCCTGTTGGCAGACCTTTTTTTTTTAATGGTCATAACTGTTTTTCTTCAAGTATTAGGTGATTCAATCTCAATTATTTCCAAGGCTGTCGTGATGATTTTGTGTGATTATGTTTGTTACGTATAGTATACAAGTCAGTTGTTAACTACAACTGGTATAAGTTGTTCTACCAGAAACTTTAATTTGACTTTTTTTTTTCTCACTGAAGAATACACACCTTCTACTGGCGTGTTATATTTTGAATTCAGAGCTGAGACAAACTCTTCAGGTGTAGAAACCTATTTTTTGCCCTGTCTGTGATACTTCAAACTTAACTAAGATCAACTATTAACTGAGAAAGTTATGTGACGATAACATCACATATGATGTCATTCATATTGTAACATTTAATAAGCCTCGTAAAGATAATCTTGACTTCTGCATAATATCCTTCTTTTGTAACAAGCCGCTGTTTACTCTCAATAAATAAATATAATATCTAACTTTTGTAACAAAACAACCAGAAAACGTTTAATAGTAAAGCAAATTGGAATTATGACGGAGGGGGGGGGGGTAATGCTGCTGTGTTCATATTTGGTTTTGCCTGAAACCCTCTCTCCTGGTATAACAGCTTTACTTTAAAATGTAATGTCTCAACTTTGTATGGTTCGTGTAAGCCCCCCCCCCCCAGTGGCACAGCGGAATGTATGCGGACTTACATCGCTAAAAACCAGGTTTCGATACCCGTGGTGGGCAGAGCACAGATAGCCTATTGCGTAGCTTTGTGCTTAACTTCAAACAAACAAACAAAACAAGCTTGTGTATATTGTATTCTCTCTTAAATAGAACGAATATAGAAGTAACCATTTAATGTTTTTCATTTGTTGTACTGGATCTGACGTCATCCAAATCCCTCATTTTGCTGAACCAAACAAAAAATTATCTTTATGTACTTAAGAAAAATCTATTTTTTTACAAAATATTATCACATATTTATTTGAGAAGACTTCTGTAGGATTAAAAATACAATGGAGTGGACTAAATAACTTAATTAACTGGAGTTAAGCCTATTTTGCCTTTTCTATTGTCACGTATTATCCCTGCGACAGTCTTTACTGTTGCTCTTAAATAGCTGTTGTTGTTTTTTTACAGATTTTTGCCCGAATCTCCTCGTTGGTTGGTGTCTATTCAACGCTATGAAGAAGCAGTGGTCATTCTGACCAAAATGGCCAAGATAAATGGACGTTCTGTGCCTACTGATCTAGTGAAGAGGCTTAAAGTAAGTTAACTTACTTTATTAGCCGTTGAACAATATGATCATTTTCTGAATGTTTCCTTGTTGTTGTTTTGGTGACATAAACTTTCTTTATGTCCAAATTCTACAGTCCTAATTATAACCGTGTTTAATCAGTTTTTTTGACAAGTAAATGCTAGACTTTGTTCTTACAAAGTTTCTTGTTTCTATGTTAAATCTTACTAATGAAAAGGAGGTTCTTATAGTTCGATATCTCATTTCCCCTTTTTTTGTCATCTATCATACCACCTGACTTTAGGTACTTCATTACAGACATATTTGATAAAGTGCTGATTTTATAATCAGCTATATCTCCCACTGTGATATTCTCATGTGCGTTGATTTTTCTTAGAGTAATGGGATAGGTCCCGTAGCATAGCAGGAAGCCCGACAGATAATGCATTACGGAGCGAAAATCTGAATTATCTCACGTCGACTGAGCTCCAAGAAGAGAAAAAGACTGTATCCAAGTTAAATACAGTGAAATAAACTTTATTTCTAACAAACAAGAGTCAGAGTTTAAAAAGCAAATGTATTTTTGGACACCTTTTCTGAAAAGCTGTCAGACAAAAAGTGGGTTGAATCTAAATAGAATCATTCAAGTATAGCTATTTTTTTCTGGACTAGAAAAACATAACATCATATACACGTAAAATAACAACGCCATTTTACTCGGGACACTGGCGCTATCCACGTGACTAATGGTCATTCGCAGAGAAAAATAAGATACGTTGTTACCTTGAAGTATCACCTGAACTGCCAGTGGAAAAGATCACAGTCTATGTCGAGCTAATGTGTTCTTCTTTACAGGAAACTTTCCTACGAGAGATTAAACGTGACACTCTAATTGAATGACCTAGTTTAGTAGGTAACTAGGGTAAGAGGAACACAGCACCGAAAGTTTGGAAATTTTAATATTTAATAAAGATGTAGGATACTCGGGCTAAGCCTGTATGCCACACCAGCTTTAGCGAAGTTTATTCAAACAAACTTGGGTACAAGCATGATATCGAAACAACTATATCGTAAAAGGTTTGAATGCTGCATCTATGTTTTCATACTAGGGTTGTCCCTTGGAAATGTATAGTTATTTAATGCCTAACAAATAAATCACTCGAAAATCAGTATGGTTGTAAAAGGCTTTGATAGTTCCTTGGGTTTTGTCACTTTTACGAGTGTAACATAAATAGTGTTATTTTAATAATAAAAAGGAAAAGAATATTTCTGTAGTAGAATGCTCAATGGTAAGCTTGAGGGTTTATAACCCTAAAATTTGGGTCTCGATCTCTGCAGTAGGCATAGCACAGTTGGCTCATTTTGCAGCTTTGTGTTTAGCAACAAACTAACTAACAATAAGTAGAATATAATGGTATCAAATATTTCCTGTGTATAAAATTTTATAAAATACAAATATATTTCAGTTATACCAGCAATTGACCCAAATCATCAAGTGGTTATCTACTGATAAGAAATTTTTGTACTAATATTAGTATTTTCACAGAAAGTAGAAGAATCCATGAGAAAAGAGAAAGAATCGTCCACAACAACAGAGAATTTTACTGTCTTATTTCGGTATCCATCACTAAGGAAATACTTTTTAACAATTACCATATCGTGGTAAGTAATGCATCTTAATTTATTTCAAAATATTTTCCTCTAAATTTTAACCTTTCAATAAAAAAGAATCATTCATCATTTTTAAAAATTCTATAGGTGGCACATAGCAGTTTATTGGTTCAAGGATTCAAAACGCATTCCATCAATTAAAAAAATCTTTAATATTGAACAAAATAAAAAAGAAAATGTGAAATTAATGGACTAAGAGTTGTTAGAAAATAAATGTTTAAATGTTGAACATTAAACGTGTGAAGATATATATATATATATAACAATAAATTCAGATCAACATCCATAGGATTTTACAAATGTAGCATTCCTTATATTACAATAAACCAGGGATTGATGACCCGTCAAAAAGAAATTCAAAATGAGGTTTAAAGGTGAACTTGGAATTAAATATAAGTACAAAATAAAACTAATATCTGATCAACTGTGTTATATAATATGTTGTGATATCTAGTAGTCTTCAACCTATTTCTATCTTTATTTATTGTACTTTGTTATTTTGTAAACTCTCAAGTATACAAGTGTATACAATTTGAAATCAAAATCCAACACTGTTTATTAAACAGTAAGAAAAGACACTTGGACTTACGACAAATATCTCAATACTTAAACAAGGTCTAAATAATACCATATAACAATCTCTAGAATAGGCTGAAGATCTTTTACTTTTTTATATAATAATAAAAAAACAACTAATTAAGCTTACTAAATTATGCTTAAACCCAGAAAAGAAACAAGTTTTACATTTCAGCTATAATTAAAAAAACGTTTCATATCATAAACCTTAAAGACAAAACGGAAAATCAAGTCAGAAAGTTTTGAAAGTTCAAGAACCAAATACGAACTGAAAGCAATTTGCTAAAACAATGTATAGTATATTTTTTCTCTCTTAACCATGAAACAGTACCCTCCCAGCCAATCAGTGAACGACAGTTGTAGTACCCAGTGTTTATAATGATCTTGAAAAGGTGCCAGCATGCAAGAAATGGGAGAGGTAATTGTTGTTTGACCTGAGGTGAAATATACCCGCGCTATAGTTGCAGAGACACTAAAGTCAGAGTATTTCCGCGCGAAACAACGTAATATTCTACTTTAATATATAACTTTAAGTAGATCTTTTGTACTGATTGTGATTGTTCTCTGTAACATAAAATCTAAATAAATTTCCCCGTCAACCTTACAACACATTCAATTAAACGATGATAATTAGTCTATATGCTCTTAATGAACGATATAACACATAGCTATAACTGTGTGAAAAGTGAATTATCTTCAAGATTTTCACTTACGTAAGTCATGAAATTGAGACATTGCACTAAAAACGAGAATATTTTAAGTTTCACAAAAGTTAAATTTATTTATTTGCTCTCTATGAAGATCTTTCAAAAAGCAAAGATTTCTTGTGATTTATAGATGTAAGCTTCAATATAACTCTTATAAAGTTCGTTATGCTGAATTTATATGGTTATGGATGTTTTATAAAGAAGAAAGCTTCTTGTGTTTTATTTAAAAAAAATACAAGTTCGAATTTGAAAGAAGATTCAAAGACGTTTTTTTTTCTTTACAAATACTTTATACCAACTGCCTTACTTACAGGGTTGCCAATTCTATGGCTTATTATGGTCTACAAATCAACGTCACCAATCTGTATGGAAACGAATTTCTCAACTTCTTTCTACTCGGGATTGTTGAATTACCGTCCTATTTCTTGTGTTGGTACTTAATGGAAAGATGTGGACGACGATGGACTAATGTAGGCTTAATGTTTCTGGCTGCCCTTAGTATCTTAATACCCACAGCGTTTCCTCAAGGTAAGTCATCAAGTTCTATTAAGGTGCTTTCTGCATTTCAGAACACCATTTCTTTAAGTTTGCCGTGTTTCTGTTGCTGTTATAATTTTACCTATGATTTACATTCATTTATTTTGTGCAGTCTCCGTTACAGGGGTTGACTACAATGGATCCTACTATTATCATTCCATCTCGTTCTCTGTAGTCCAAAATATACTATTTGTCTTATGGTGTTCATGAGTTCTATGAGTTACATTATTTTCTCAAAATGTTTCTTTCTGTATATATCTTAATTTCGACAGTTCTTTCTGCATTTGCCATATATATATATACACATAGTTTTAAATTTTTAGATTTTATTTCAATATTATTAAAATAAAACAATAGCAATTCTATCGAAAAACGCTTTCGATATTAAAAATCCTTAGTATTTATAACACCTATGTATTTTCGCATATGTGTATATTTGTTTCAGAATAATTTGTCTGTGTTAAGGCCAAATACACGTATTCTATTAAGCGGTAAATATAAAGTCTCTCTAGTACAATTTGTCATATGACACAGAAATTATTTTATGAATTAATAAATATACAAACATATTTTTATAAGCCGTATCTCTCAAAAAAGAGTAGTTTCTTGATTACATTTTTTTCAAGCAATGGATTATATGATGGTAATCAATATTTCAGTTGATGTTTTTTTTATGAATACCGATTTCAACACATTCAATTCAACAAATTCAATTTCTCTCATCTAAAAAAAAACGTTTTTCCATATTATATAAAAAAGTATTTTTGTATGATAAAATAGGATTATAAGATAGCAGTTTGAAAACTTCAAAAGCTTAAAGAATCAGTGTTTTGGCGTACAGTTACAGTGTCTTGATATTAATAAGACTTATGTCCTCTCGATGACCATCAGAAATTCAACTATAAGAAATATTTTAGAAAAGACGAAACAGCAACGAACCTCATAACTTTAAACTATCTGTAGTACAAAATTGCTTCTTTTTTTGAAGAACAATTTCTAATCAGAGTTTGCTTATTGTACAATTCTGATGAGGAGTCATTACCTTTCATTCTCATCAATAATTAGTATCACTCAGAATACGGGGTCAAGAGTGGTCTAGTGATTAGCAAAAGGCTCAATATTCTAATCCGCGATACGTCGATCAACTCGCCTCGCAATTTCATCGGTGGGTTAGAATACTAACCACAACCGATTGATAATAGGTAGTTCAATGACAACTCATTCTATGATTTAACAACCTAGCTCCACTTAAACTTGAGTATTTAAAGTTATTAGTCATTCATTAAAAATGTATGTTAAAATAGTAAGATACTTAATGTAAATTGTTTTTTTTTTCAATCAATAATGAATACATATATATGTGGGGGTGCATAATTAGATGTTTCAGGAGTTAACACATTGTAATAATGCCGTTTCTACATTTCACCTTTGTTCGATTACTGAAGAGTTTTGTTCTTTCTTGGTGTATATTGCAGTAAAGAGAAACATAAGCTTATCTTGTATTTTACATAGTTAAGGTTAAAACTCGAAAGCAGAAGCAGTATTAATATTCAGTTGATAGGGTGAAGTATGTTTTATGGATATTGTTTGATATTAATGATTGTTAAACATCGCCTTACTCATCTGGTAATGTATGGATATTGTTTGATATTAATGATTGTTAAACATCGCCTTACTCATCTGGTAATGTATGGATATTGTTTGATATTAATGATTGTTAAACATCGCCTTACTCATCTGGTAATGTATTATTGGATTTTCAAAATTAAAACAAAATAACTATATATATTTTTTTTATAACAGATTTGGCTATCGGAACGACTATTGGGGCTCTTATAGGCAAATTTGGCTGTTCTGCTGCCTTCATGGTTGTTTATCAACAAGCAGCGGAACTATATCCAACCCCAGTCAGGGCTCTGGGAATGGGAAGCAGCGCCACCATCGCTTGTATAGCTACGATTTGTACGCCTTATATCATCTACTTGGTAACACTTTTCATAGTTTGTTGATGTTGTTGTTTTCTTTTCAAAATGGTCTTTTTATTTTCTAAAAAAAAAAATTATCTTCGCGCTTTTTTTAAAGAAGCTTTGGAGGAGTGCTCGCGATTGATTATGTCGGAAGTTAGTCACGTTCATCTCATGCACAGAAACAACCAAATTTTCTTGAATTGAAAGTGTTTTTAAACAATATACAAATTAAAATATCAAATACACAAATACATGGTTATATGTTTTGATTACACAGCAGAACTTCTTTTTAATCAGAATAAATGATCATTTAAATAGGAAGATAGACGATGATAACTGACTTGTTTAGATATTTCAACTTTACGAAATTACCACAAGTGGAAAACACATATAAATAAACACACACGCATACACACACCTAGTTAAAATCGGAAATCCAACAAAACACTCCTTAATCTTTTTAGTATCACACTCCAGTTTGCTCTAAAACATTAAAAGCTTGTTAATCTCTACGTTTCCTGTTTGTACGGAACAGAAATTAGCAGGATTTATTACGTAACCTATTGTTACGCCTCTGTGTTCGTTTGTTAATTTTCCGTAAAAATTCTTTCCGAAAAAA